TAGATGGGATAAAATGCGCATGATACGGAATCATGCGCATGAATGCGCATTAATGCGCATGATTGAGGAATCATGCGTACGCATGAAACCCATCTCTAATCGGACTATTTTGACGAACTAATAATTGTAACATTAGTTAAAGTTACATCTAATCATAAATGGTTTCGGAATAATATCGACAAAAATTCCGTAATTTTTACAAATAGTTTTAAGGTATAATCCTGAAGAACCGCTCTTTAAACGACTTTTGACCAGTTTCATAAGTTTTCGTAGAGTGAGACTATGGTTGAGATATCGGGTTTATATCTAAGTCAGAAAAATAATATATTCATAATCAATTTTTAAGTAATCGAATAAATTTCTATCTCATTATTCATTATTTAATCGTTAGCTCAGATATGCATAAAAACCTATCTTTTTGCTTTTATGCGAACAAAAACAGCACTTTTGCTTTGTGTCAAAGGTAATACGCTAAATTTGTACGTACGTGCGTACATGTGTATGAACCCGGAATGCAACCTCCAGAAATTTCAATTATAGAATTTGTATTACCAAATACACAGTTTTTGTAAAAATTATGTGGGAAACATTTAACTGTTATATTCTTTTATTTAGTTCCTCAGACAATAATAAAGTTGCGTAATATTGCTACTGTTATAAAATACGTAAATAAATTATAAAACGTATATATATATATATAAATATGTATGTGCATATATATATATATAATCTATATATATAATCTTAAATCATAGGTTTTCCTCAAATTTCCAAGCGTGAAAATGCATAATTCTGCTAAAAAAAGATATCAATAAGATGATAAATGCTATGAAATGTCATTATTTAAATACTTGATTAATAACGAACATATCTATTTGCAAAATACAGGCTATGAATACTTTTTAAAGCTGCAATCTAACTTCCATATGTATAACCTAATTGAAGTAAGATATTGATTATTACAGTTCTTGTACATACATCTTATTATCATATGAATTTTACCTTCGAATTCATTTTCATATAGTAGAGTTTGCGATATAGTTGACTGCAATTCTGGAGCCGAAGCTATGTTTAAATCATTTGCACTATCCCAATAGCTATTTAAACAACAGTAAATATAAATTTAATTCTCAATATATATTTGTACAGCAATTGCTATACAAAATGTTCTGTCCATAGATAGGCCTATTTAGCAGTTACAATCCTTACTTGGTGCTGCAATGGTCGAAAAATTTTGTGCTTGAGAGTTATCTTCTCTACCAAAACTTACTAACATTTTCTGTTGTCCTATGTTTAATATTAAAGTAGAAAGGAATGTTATCATTATTGAATTATTTGATAAAACGTGTTCAGACGACGATAGTGTCTTACCATTAAAAGCAAGATTTTGATAGTCTAAGTTTTGTTTTTAAAAAATTTTTTTAAGGTAAGTTGGAATCATTCACTCTAATATACCTGCTTATAAACTAACTTGAATTGAACTTGTACCTAAAATTATAAATGTGATATTAGTTTAGTTTGCTAAAAAAAAAAATTTTTTTCAGTATTATGTAATTATTATAAAAAGTAATTGTTTCTCCTAGATTAAACATAATTGGCAGAACATTTTCGAAGAACTAGGTGTCACATGAAAAGCATCGTTATGATAATTAAATTTCGGCAATAACAATTCACTGACCTTCAGATGTGCCTACTGAATTAATCGGTAGTGCTGAGTGTTCACATAAATGTAGGACTTGAACATTTGTGCACGGACAAACATATGCGATCATGGGGATGGGTATTGGACACGCTGCAGATGGACGTAGGACCTGTGGTTCGAGTGTATTAGTAATAGGTGATTTCCCTACATTTCTTGTTCGATTTGGCTGAACTAATTTCATATTAAAGACGTAAAAAAATATAACTATTTACGTTCATATAATCAAGTAAAGAATCAACCTGCAACATATCTGTATTCATTTTCATTGGTGATACATTCGTAATAAGATTATTTTGCGAATGATGAATGTCAACATCAGATGGGAATCCGTACAATCTAGGAGAAACTTGTTTCGAGTCCGCCTGAACCGACTGGTATGGCCCGTGCAGGCCTCTAACAGATTGATGACCTAATTACATATTACTGTATTAGATAATATTAGAAGAAGGTAAAGTGAAAACGTCAATATAATTAATTTCGACAATATCAATGGCTAATTTCACTGACCTTGCGATGATACCTTTACTACATTGAGCGGTAGAGAGTGTTCGGATGATGAAGGTACAGAGTGTTCGGATGAAGAAGATACAGAGTGTTCGAATAAAGGTGCGGAGTATTCGGATGATGAGGTTACAGATTGCTTGAATGATAAGGGTATAGAGCGTTCAAACAATGAAGGTATAGAGCGTTCAAACAATGAAGGTACAGAACGTTCGAATGATGAAGGAACTTGTTGCTGATCCGCTTGGCCTAAATTATAAGATCCCGCCTGGTACAGTTCGTGAACTCTAACTTGGGGTTGGTGATCTACACAAATATAAGATTAGAAAAATATAGATAAATAAAAAATGTAATCATAATATATAAGTTTTTCATTAGTGCCATACAAATCAGTTAGTTTTTTTCATAACCGTTCTGAACAAATTTTGAAAACTCCTGCACCGTCTAGCAAATATTCAATTGTAGCCAATGTTACGTTTTTGACACAAAAAGTCATGTGTCTTGCTTGACGCAGTTGTGTCAAGGTCCGATGTGGATTAAAGAGATTCTGAAGACCAGAAGTAGACGAATAATTCAAGGATGGGTGACTTAGCTTGCCATATAAAAAAGAATTGTGTAAAATTTTGTGTCGGATATGTGAGAAATGTCAAAAAAAAAAGCCATTCTGTCTAATTTTTGTTTTATTTCAAACAAAATCAGGTAAAAATTCACTTTTTTCACACATCTAATACAAATTTTATACAAATTTTATACAATCCTTTTTTATCAGGTCGCTTATGATGCTGTATACTCTTAAGACGGCGTGGCGTAAGGGATACACTTCCGCAAGTTTGGATTATGCTTTCTTACCTTTTCGGATAAAGTTCGACTTTGTTAAATATTTCTTGAGTTTGTGAGAAGAGCTTCTTTTTCTACTATTCATGGTCCTGTCAGAAGTGCAAGGTATGCCTCTTTTTCTGCATCTTGAGCATGGTTTATTGGCATCGCATTTTTTTTTCTGCTGATGGCACAAATCGCACGCTGCAACTCGATTTGCGATAGGTGCAATTGCAGTCGCGGTAGTTACTGAACTTGTAGTAGTAAACATCGCGATTGCTGGACGGTTGGTGATAGTTATTGCGGTTGTGGTGTTTATTGAATCCATGATAGTACCACTACTCTATTGAACAGACTAGTTGAATTATAAAAAATGTTTTGTAGATAATAAATTTAGCTTTTCTTTTATTTTTGGTTTCCAGTTCCTTTAAGGGTATGACGAGATGGCAAGACAGGATGATGAAATTCCAGGGTTTATTTTTAATAGGACAAATTTTGTAGCGCCAAAAATTTGCCGATACGATACTTTCATACTTAAATATGAAAATACTTTATCTCATCACGAGTAAAATATTTATCAAAAAGGTCATGGTGGCGTATTGTGGGTAATTATAATCGTTACGTCGTCACATGAAAGAAGAAAAAAGATCATAATAATGTAAGAATTAATCAATGACAAAAAAAAGTTATCACAATATAGGAATAAACATAAGAATAAATAATACAAAAAAGGTATTAGTAATGACATGAATAAAATTGGGCGAGAATTACGAGAATTAATCGTTATATGTTGTATTATATATATTTTATTTAGAAATTGCAGCATGATTTATGTGCTTAAACGTCCTTAATCTCAGAAATTTTTCATAATTAAAAACATGAAAAAATAAGTATATTAATCAAGATTCAATTATTATTAGCTCGAGCATGCGTGCCAGTTCTTTCAGCTTTTTTTATATGCGAAATTGATTTTCTGTGTTTATTTACATGTAACACGTACATGAGAGTTGAGGTCAACTGACTGACTAGAGATGGGCAAGGTAATTACTTATTACGTAAAAAATCAAATCACATTATGCGACAATTTACTAATAATATA